TGCCAGTATAGGAATATAGCTTTTTTAGGACATTTAAATTTTGAAAAGTGTGAGGGAGGTGAGGCCTTGTAGTGTTGCTTTCATGATTTTCTTTTTTTAAATCTCCAGTGTGAAGTTCCTGAGGGTGGGCTAGTTCCTAAGTCTCTATATCGGACTGCTGAAGAATTGGAAAATGAAGACATAAAACTGTTGACTGAAACCACCAGTATAGGAATATAGCTTTTTTAGGACATTTAAATTTTGAAAAGTGTGAGGGAGGTGAGGCCTTGTAGTGTTGCTTTCATGATTTTCTTTTTTTAAATCTCCAGTGTGAAGTTCCTGAGGGTGGGCTAGTTCCTAAGTCTCTATATCGGACTGCTGAAGAATTGGAAAATGAAGACATAAAACTGTTGACTGAAACCATTTATCAGTCTGCAAGTGTCTTCAAGGGAGCTCCACATGAGGTACAGCTGCAATCCTCACTCCTCTTCTTTCACTTGGTCTTTGCTCCTATAAAATGAAAGCAGATTAGAATCTGGTCACTCAGGGTACGTCTACACTTGCACCCTAGTTCGAACTAGGGATGCAGATGTAGGTGACCGAAATTGCTAATAAAGCGGAGATTTAAATATCCTGCGTTTCATTAGCATGATCTCGCCGGCGCATTACTCCGCTCAACAGCTGTTTCGAAAGTGAAACTGCGCACTGACATGTTAGTTAGAACCAAACCCCTTGGTTATTCCTCATTTTTTGAGGAGTAACGTTAGTTCGAACCAAGGGGTTTGGTTCAAGCTAACACGTCCCAGCACGCACTTTCACTTTCGAAACAGCTATTGAGCAGAGTAACGTGCCAGCGAGATCATGCTAATGAAGCGTGGGATATTTAAATCCCCGCTTCATTAGCAATTTCGGTGTCCTACATTTGTATCCCTGATTCTAGGGTGCAAGTGTAGACATACCCCCCGTCAGCTTATTTTAAAGCAGGTATTTGGGTTCCCTAAATACTCAGAATGAAAAAGCTTCTGATTTCTCCTTGAAGCCATGAGTATTGCAAGCCAAAATCAGGATCTGGGAAGTTTGTAAAGAAGTAAGTGTTAGCATTTTTAAGATACTCCTTCTCTTCTGTGGAGGAGGTAGGCTGACTGCCTACTCCGTTGGATTCCCTGACCAGAGCACAGGAACTACATTATTAGCTTATAAAAATGCTACTGACTCTATCCATTTAATGAATAAGATGACTTTTTCATGCAATATTGATTTAAAAAACTCAGAACTAAACAAGTTACTCCATTTCTTTTCAAGATCTTTAAAGAGCCAAGCACTCTAGATTGCCTGAGCTGAGTTTCACTAAGGGCATTTCTACACAGCAGGGTGAAAGTTGAATTAAGATACGCAATTTGAGCTACGTCAATTGTGTAGCTGAACTCGAAATAGCTTAATTTGGCTTTTGGCACTGTCTACGCAGCAGGAAGTCCAAGAAAGAACTCTCTTCCTTCGACTTCCCTTATTTCTCGTGAAATGAGGGATACAGGAGTTGGAGTAAGAAGTCCTCCATCTTGACATTATTTCGAAATAATGGTTTGCTGTGTAGATGTGCCTTAACTAAACTAATATTTTTAATATGACTTACAAATAAAAAGCAGATATTTATACCCTCTCTTAGTGATTCAATATGTATAAATGAGTCTGAAAGGTTTTTAAGTCTCATTTTAACCTTAAAAATATCAGGGATATTAATATAACTTTTCCTGTTTTCTTAAAGATCTTTATTGGAAGTTAAAGAAGAAATGGAATGTAGTCTTATTGGGGTTGGCAACATTCCAGAAGTGTCATGCTAAGATTTAACACACTCACTTCTATTTATGGATCCATGTGCCCCTAGACCGAGTCCCACTGGGTACAAAGCCCTAAAGGGCCCCGAGCCCTCACCTGCATCCTGGATGTGCAGGGTCCTCAGCTTCAGTGCCGCCTCTTCCCACCACCTCTTAGCACAGCTTAGCCTAACCTGCTGCCAGGGAAGGGGGAAGGCGCTGGTTGGTTGCACACCATGAGAGCCCCTCCCATCTGGGCACCACGCAGCCCAATCTGCAGCCTTCCCTATGGGTGCAACCGAGGCAGACACCCAGCAGTGGGCAGGACTTTTCCATGGAGGAAGGAGACAGAGCTCCTCCATGTGTAGTTGTGCAGCCCATGCCGGGGGGCAGTGAGTTTGCTTTCTTCGTCTCCCACCTGCCCCCCCACAGTGCCAGCCACAAGGCTCCAGTGGCAGCATGGGCTCCCTGCATGCCAGTCAAAATGATCTTACATGCCACTTATGTCACACATGCTGTGCTCTGCCAGTCCCTGTCTTAGACTTTAATAGAAAGGACATGGATAGTTTTATCTTCTGCAGAAGAGTTTTTACTTCAGCAGTTTGTTCAGGTCAATTAAATACTAATTAATCACTAATTAATTTACTTCAGCAGTTTGTTCAGATTAATTAAATACTAATTAATCAAAGCATTGTGGAAATGGTCTGAATAAATCACTTCACCTTTCAGTTAGGTTTCTCTTATGCATATCCTCTTCTTGAAGGCTCTCAAAATGTGATGAAAAGGGGGGAGATAATTTTGTACATGAAAACCAGCAAGAAAGCGCAAACCCTTTTTTTAGCTTTTGCGGGTCACTTTAACATGCCTAACTAAGTGCAAGCATGAGAGCTCTGATGATATCAGGACTCTTGTTAGTGAAACTGCTACCTTTTATCCCATTTCCTAAAAGTCGTCTTTACTATAGGAGGGGCATGGACATCACTTTTGACCTGCTTATGAGTATGCTAGAAGATTTAACTGGCATTGCTTGGGTCCCTCAGGGTAGGGGACTGAGGATGTGGGGAGTGCAGAAGTCAGAACAGAGACTTGAGGATGTAGTGGGCTCAGGGCAGGAGGCTGTGGACGTGTGTGAGGGAGTGCAGGAGTGAGAGTTGGGGGTGAAGGGCTCAGGACTGGGGTTTTGGGGGTGCAAGAGTTGGAAGAGGCTACACTGTCTGGATGGCAGGCAGGAAGCTTACCTCCATTTCTGCCCCCTTCTGGTCCAATAGAGTGTTAGCTGTCCTAGTCCCCATTTCAGGCCCTTTGCTTGCCCCCTGTGGTCATTACACAGTATAACTGTCCATGCTAGCCGCCCTCCCTTTCCATGTTGTGGAAAACAGTTGCATTCCAGGCCCATTCCACTGACCTGGTACAACCAAGCCCTTGCTTTGCTTTAAGTTATGATAAGAGGAAACTGCATACCAAATTTGGTTGTCCTAGCTCTTACCATTTATGAAGAGTTCTTGAAAAAACGTACACATAGACTTGGCTTGCTTGCTCACAGACAAACAAATTCTCTCAAATATATAGTAGATAGCTTTAGAAAAAAATGACTAAAGCTTTTAATAAAGGCCACAAAGAGAGAGAGGTTCTGTCATTGAAAGCTCTCTCGTTCCTATCTCAAAGCAAGTAATATGATAAATGAGAGAATGAATTTGTATCTATTATAGAGCACTCTCAATAGTCATCATAAATTGAGAGTTCACCTGTAGCAACTCTTTTTCCTAGTAAGAATTTCAGCCTTTAATGAGCATATTGCTATTGTTTAATTTAAATTTTCTCTCCCTAGATTCTTATTCAGATTGTAGATGCCTCATCTGTGATCACGTGGGATTTCGATGTGTGCAAAGGTGACATTGTTTTTAACATCTATCATTCCAAGAGAGCACCACAACCTCCTAAAAAGGACTCTTTGGGCAGCCACAGCATTACATCTCCTGGAGGGAACAATATACAGCTAATAGACAAAGTCTGGCAGTTAGGGCGTGATTACAGTATGGTGGAGTCCCCACTTATCTGCAGGGAAGGGGAGAGTGTGCAGGTAAGATCATTAATTCGACTGTCAGCAAGACTGTATCTTTCTTAATTTTATGTTTTGTTCCCAGCAGATACCTTATTGTAACAATGCAGACAAGTTTATTTCCATTTGTTGTTGTTGCTTCCAGGGGTCACATGTGACCAGATGGCCTGGCTTCTATATTCTTCAATGGAAATTTCATAGTATGCCTGCCTGTGCTACAACCAGCCTGCCTCGTGTGGATGATGTACTGGCGTCTCTACAGGTCTCCTCACATAAGTGTAAAGTGATGTACTATACAGAAGTGTTAGGATCAGAAGATTTCAGGTATGTCCTCTAATTTTTTCCATCCATGGGCAGAATTCATTTTGTTATGCACACCAAGGAAAGTGCAGATGTGAACCACCAATAGAATCGCATGCTGTGGGCACTCTGCTAATCAGCTGACCAGTACTTGACTCTCTCCTTGGCAGTTGCCCATGCACTCAGCTTACAGGGAAAACTGATGTACAATAAAGGCTCAATGTCAAACATTCTTTTTGTGGCCAGCTTACATTTTGCTTTGTAGCTTGGTACTGCCTTGGTACAAAATACCAAAAGCCAAATCCACTAAAGAAAAATCAAAATACTTTGGTGTAGTTGCCTTGGTTAGAAAGCAAGCTGTGTGGACTTGTACTTTACTTAAAGAATCTATAAAATTGCAAATAAAGCCTCATAACAATATATCGAAGATAGTGCTGAAAAATAACTAGCATTGTGATCAATGTTCCCCCTAACTTTTTCCATCTACATGCAGAATGAATTTTGTTATGTGTACTAAAGCATGTGTAAATGTGCACCACCAATAGAAGCACATGCTGCCAGCTGTGGGCACTCTACTAATCAGCTGGGCAGCATTTGAATCTCTCCTGGGTGGTTGCTCAAGCGCTCATCTTACAGAGAATACTGATTGTGGTGGATTACACCGGAAGAGAAAGTGAATTGATTAATCTCATTTTAGGCCTTGTCTACACTAAATGGAAGATTGCCACTGCTGCAATCGGTCTTCTGGAGTTCAATACAGCAAGAATAGTTAAATCAGATTCAGAGGGTACTCCCCCAAGCGTACACCTGCTTTTGCGAGAAGTAAGGGAAGCCAATGGGAGCATTTGTTCCCATTGACCTCCCACTGTGAGGACACCACCAAGCTCATCTTAAGGTAAACTGACTCTAGCTAAGTATTCTGCGTAGCTGGAGTTATGTATCTTAAGTCGAGCTGCCAGGTTTAGCATAGACCCAGCTGTTGCTAATGGAGATTTAGCCTGTATTACAAAAACACTACAGGTTGAGCCTCTCTAGTCTGGCATTCTCTGCTCTGGCAACAGCTATGTTCTGGCATGATTTTTACTTAGACAGATGTCTATTTATCATGGATGTGGCCAAGTTTCCTCTGGTCCCATAAAGTTTGTTTAAAGCCACCAGTCCTGACTCTGTGTTCTGGGTTGTTATTTAGCTAAAATTTACTGCTAAATGTCTTCTGACATTTCAGTAAGCAGTGGAAGTGTTGGTAATGCTGCTGTATAATGACTACTTCTAAGTCTCACTTTCAAGTGCATCAGATTTCTCTGAAAATGGATAAGCGTTCTCAGAGAGTAGTTATTAATGGTTCACAGTCATGCTGGAAGAGCATAATAAGTTGGGTTTCACAGGGGCCTGTTTTGGTTCCGGTTCTGTTCAATAACTTCATCAACGATTTAGATGATGGCATAGAAAGTACGATTATTAATTTTGCAGATGATACCAAGCTGGGAGGGGTTTCAATTGCTTTGGAGTATAGGGTCAAAATGATCTGGACAAACTAGAGAAATGGTCTGAGGTAAACAGGATGAAGTTTAATAAGGACAAATGCAAAGTATTCCACGTAGGAAACAATCAGTTTCACACATACAGAATGGGAAGTGACTGTCTAGGAAGGAGTACTGCTGAAAGGGTGATAGTGGACCACAAGCTAAATGAGTCAATGGTGTGACACTTGCAAAAAAAGCAAACATGATTCTGGGACGCATTAACAGAAGTGTTGTGAGCAAGACACGAGAAGTTGTTCTTCTGCTCTACTCTGCGCTGATTAGGCTTCAGTTGGAGTATTGTGTCCAGTTCTGGGCACCACATTTCAAGAAAGATGTGGAGAAATTGGAGAAGGTCCAGAGAAGAGCAACAAAAATGATTGAAGGTCTGGAAAACTTGACCTATGAGGGAAGACTGGAAGAATTGGACTTGTTTAGCTCAGAAAAGAAAAGACTGAGAGGGGGCATGATAGCGGTTTTCAAGTTTCTAAAAGGGTGTTACAAGGAGGAGGGAGAAAACTTGTTCATCTTGGCCTCAGATGATAGGACAAGAAGCATTGGACTTAAATTGCAGCAAGGGAGGTTTAGGTTGGACATTAGGAAAAACTTCCTAGCGGTCAGGTTGGTTAAACACTGGAATAAATTGCCTAAAGAGGTTGTGGAATCTCCATCACTGGAGATATTTAAGAGCAGGTTGAATAGACATCTGTCAGGGATGATCTGTACAGTGTTGGTTCTGCTGTGAGGGCACGGGACTGGACTTGATGACCTCTCGAAGTCCCTTCCAATTCTAGTGTTCTATGATTCTATATATCTGTGGTGCCCAAAGATGGTATTTTTTCTTGTTACACACAAGAACCATTACATGTTGACACTAAGGTTATACAAGGCTCTTTAGGTTTAGTTGGTGTAGTGAAGCTGAATAGTAAATAGAACTTAAACAAAGGTACATAGTAGAATTTCAGTTTCCTCTTCTGAAACCTAATACTTTGTCTTATTACAGAGGATCTATGACCAGCCTTGAATCAAGTCACAGTGGATTCTCCCAGCTCAGCGCTGCCACAACCTCTTCCAGCCAGTCCCACTCCAGCTCCATGATTTCCAGGTAGTGCTACTGCAAATGAAAAGCAAATGGATAACATGGCTGGACCCTCATCTGCGACAGCTGACTGCAATACAGCATATTTAAGTGGCATTGCAAAAAACAAAACCCTTTTGTTAGATAGTAAAGTAGCAGTTTGAATTTTAAATGTAGTGTTTCTGTTCAAGTTAGTTCGGACAGCTAGTCTCTTTAACTTTTACCCCTTTCCCCTAACTCAGCCATAGATTTTTGTAAGCATGCTTGCACAAATCCTCACCCTTAAAATACAAGGGCTGTTTTGGAAGGAAAAGAATAACGCGCTGATTAAGAATTATTTTTTAAGAATGGGAAAAAGCAAAAAGCAGTCCTACCAAAAATATTCCATGGTGCATTAGAAAGCAAACAGAATTCTCCTGCCTTCTCGCCACATTATGGAATACCCTGTGATCTTCCAGCTGCTGCAAGCTCTCTTGCCACTGCCACCCACTCACACTGCTGTTCAAGAGAAAGCAGTTCCTGTGCAAGTGGAAAGTAGTTACAGCAGAGTTGTGGGTAAGCCATTAACACTAATATCTATTGCATGAGCACATTGTTGGGGATTCCCAACTCTGAATGTTTAGGGTAAATCTTCACAGGGATAAAAGACTTGTGGCTGAATTGCTGTGCTGGTGTTTGGGCTCAAGCAAGAGCCTAAGCTCTGGGACCCTGGGTGAGTGGAGGGTGCCAGCACTTGGGCCCAAGACCAAGTTCACTGATGTGCCACCAGCTGAAATATTTTATCCCCATGTAGACATACTCTTAGGGGTTAAAAGCAAGTTTAGCTCTTTCCTTGAACTTTTATTTTAAGCCATGAATGTGGTATGGAGAGGGGCAGAGAACAAGCTTTCCTTCACCATGATGACCCAAAGGCTGGTCCAGATTGGGTCCATAGTCTATGTCTCACTTTGTTCTGGAGTTACTTTTTACCCACTCCACTTACCTGCTATACTCCACAAGCACTCATTTTACAGGGGTTTACTTGATGCTATGAGTGTAGATGTACGCATTCCGCAAAGCAGAATTCGGCTTGCTCCTTAAATCTGTTAGGAGTCAGCATAGCTACATCAATTAACTTTCCTATACTTGCTCCTCCTCAAATTCTCCTTGCAGGCATCATGTGGACTCAGAAAAAACAAAACTTCATAGTGTCCACTGGAGGTAAATAATGTAAAGTGGACAGTAGGATCTTTACACCATACAAAAACAAATATGGTTAGATGACACATCAAATCCTGCCTAAGCTACTGCATTCATTATTACAATCATGAGTGGTGAAGTTCTTTTCTGGATTATTATTTAACATATGTAGGTCCCAAGCTGTCCTGCTTTGTCAGGGACTAACCTGATGTCATCTCAGGTTCTACCCTCTCCTCCGTCCCCAGCAATTAGCTATCTCAGGCAAACAAAAGATGTTAAGTAAACACTTTTTTGGTAAGTGGAGTGAAAACATGGCATTCAGAATGTTAATATGTGATATGCCACCTGGCATTAATTACAGCTTGGAGCCCAGCACAAGTTGCTTATTTAGACCACTGGTTGAAGGTTTTTCCCCTACTAGAGAACTAAATTGTTCATCCAGATGGAATAAGTTGCTATATTGCTACAAACGTTAATAGCTAACTGGATAGGATCTTAGGCTTGCAATAGCCTTGATTTGCTCATGAGGAAAAACTGCTGAAGTATTGCATGTTAAGAACAATGGTTTACTTAAGATAACAGGTTGCCCAGCTTGAAGAATGCTGAGTCCTGAGAAATTCAGAGTAAATATTTAAAACATGTGTAATACTTGTACATCCCAGTTCAGAAAAACAAAACTGATGTGCAGCATGTGAAGCCCAACATTTGTAAGTCAATGCTAGCATGTAGTCTTGCTTATAAAGATGCTAAAATTTGGAATTAATAAATAAGAATAGCTATGCTGAAAATCACACCCTACTGCACTTTATCAACTGTATCAGGCACCTTCGACTTTTAATTTGCTTTAATATCAAAGACGGAGGCAGGGCTCTCACACTGGCTGCCAAGAATATTGGCAAACTAATGCTGGGGCAAAAGAATAGACTTTAGTGCCCTGGTGTTAAGCAGGTTCACAACCAGAGTATGTAGATGTAATGGACAATACTCCTTCTCCTTTGGATGAACTACCCACAATCCTGCTTACTGATATTTTCTCTGAAGAGAGGTAATTTGATACTTGACCCACAGGAGCCAGTGTTCTACACAGAGGAGCTAATGCCATAGAAGGCACTATACCGTTAACTTGGTGACATTTGTGCCTCTTTCCAAAGGGGAGTTCCCCTTTCCCAGGTTCTAAGGGCTCTCCCTTGAAGATGGTGTCCCCCCCTCCTCTCTCTCTCTCTCTCTCTCTCTCTTTTTTTCTCTCAGATGGCGATTTTGCTGACAGCTGTAAAGAAACTGCTCCATTCAACAGTCCACATCTACCCTGAGGTGTCTGGCTTTGTACAACTTTGAGTTACAGCCACTTTTCAAGGCTCTTGAGTTTTTTGGTTTTTTAGTTAGCTCAAAACTGGCACTTTGGATTTGCCCTGAAAAGTCTATTGCATTTAAGAACACAAATCACATGACTGCACAAACAGTTGAGAGGTTAATACACAAGAAAAGCAAGATGTAAAGTGCTATTGCACATAGGACTGAATTATGCAGTTTGAGATAGACTGGATTAATTTTAATACCATTGGCCTCCTCTTTTTCATGTGATATTGCTGTTATTACTCACTCTTCCTTTTTGTCAACCATTCTGTTGACTCTTCTCTCTCTATTACCAATGTCCTTTTTGTCCATATTCATGAATTGCATATCCAATTCTGTAAATGTTTTGTAAACATATTACCTCACGGTTGGTAATAAGAAAGACAGTCTTTAAAAGATTTTTTTATTGTTAACAATAATAAATGTGAACCGTTTGAAAAAAATTCAGACTCTTCATACCTAATTCCAAAGATTGAAGTTGCTACAATGTTCAGTGGAAACTACTGCAGGGTTTAAGTGTCCCCCAGCTCCCAGTGGGATTCCACAGTGCTACTGGGGGACTGGCAGAAAGAGTACTCTTTAACTCTCACAGTGGTTGACCTTTCCTATTTTACGATGTATCTTGGTCGTTGCGAACCAATGGGCTTTTCCAAGCAGAGCACAGGACTATGAGAGCAAGAACAAAGTCTAGTGGAAAGGAAGAGGGTATGTCTACACTTGCACCCTCTTTAGAGAGAGGGATACAAATGAAGACATTTGAAATTGCAGCTGAGGCCAGGAGGGATAGCTCAGTGGTTTGGGCATTGGCCTGCTAAACTTAGGGTTGAGTTCCATCCTTGAGGGGGCCATTAAGGGATGGGGCAAATCTGTCAGGGACGGTACATGGTCCTGTCGTGAGGGCAGGGGACTCAATGACCTCCCAAGGTCCCTTCCAGTTCTATGAGATAGGTATATCTCCATATATTTTTATTATAATTGCGTTATGGTGCTATTTCAAAATATCAGACGCTGTTAAGATGCAGTATGAGGAATAAAGGTTATTTCGAGAGAAGGGTTTTCTCTCAAAATAACTGCATCTTAACCGTGTCTGTTATTTCGAAACCGCGCCATAACATGATTATGCAAATGAAGCACGGGATATTTAAATCTCAGCTTCATTTGCAATTTCGAATGTCTTCATTTGCATCTCTCTCTTGAAAGAGAAGAAGAGTTGCCTGAAGAGTTGCCTTTTCCAAAAGAAAATTTTGCTGCTAGAAGGAATTATCCCACAGTCCATCTTTGACTGGTATTGCAAACTCTAGCTACACTATGGATTGCCAAAAGGAACAATGGTGATTAAAGCTAGATATTTTATAACATCTTGGAAAACAATGCCAATACATCTCAGACACTGTATAAAGAAACCACTTCTGTGCTTTTGACAGAGAAAAAATGGCTTCTAAATCCTTTGATCCAGGTTTCAAGAGATAGCTTCTCTACCAGCAGATCCAATGTACTGCAATATTGTCTGTTTCTGATTGAACAGATGTTTATCATAAAAGGTTTCTTTGAGCTAGAGTCCATTCAAGAAACAGAACTAAGTACAAAATGGTCATGTGTACTTGAATTCAACTGACTTATCGCAAACTAAAATGGTTAGCCACGTGAACAATTTTGATAAGAGGGTTTTCTTCCATTCGCTATCCAGCACTTTTTTGGCCCAAAAGTGACTTAAAAATGTGTGACTCATCAATTATAATGACAAGTCTTCTGGAAAAGCCGAGGTAAATTTAAATAAAGCTTCTATAGCAAAGAATACAGCTTGTCTGGCATCCATATGAGTGGTCTGTTTTACCAAAACTTGGGATAGAGAGTGATCTTTTTTCTAACTAAAATGCTTATGCTGATGTAAAGATAACTTACACCAGTGTAGTCGTTTGCCTTGTGCTGTGAGGGCATGGCGACTCTAGTAAATTATTTCAGAATAACTTATTTTGAAATAACTCCCAAAATAATTATTTTGAAATAGCATGTCCATACTTCAGGGAAGTCTCAAAATTAGTCTGAGGCAGGCTCCCTTAATATGGGCACACTACCTCAACTTAGAGCTCCAGGAAGCACTGGGGAGTAATTAATTTGAATGACTCTGGGGAGTAGTTATTTCGAAATAGCAACAATGGAAAGTCCACATTAGGGATGTAAGCAATTAGTCAACTACCGGATAAGCCTAGGTGTATTGGGAAGTTGCGTCACTACTCAACTAATAACACCATAACGCAATTCGAACTAAGCTAATTCGAACTAACGCATCTAGAACTAAAAACTAGTTCGAATTAGCGTTTTGCTAATTCGAACTAGCATGTCCACATTAAGTGGACCCTGAACAGGGGTTAAGGATGGCCGGAAGCAGTGCCGGCAGGGCATCAGAGGAGGACTTAGGGCGTGGAGATGCTGTCTCAGGCTAGCCAAGGGCTGTGCTTAAAGGGACCCGACCCCCACCCCGGACAGACAGTTCTCAGGGGTACCCCACTTGCAAACCAGTCCTGGCTTGGAGTGCCCGGAGTACCCACACTGGGCACATCACACCACTCGGCCATCAGACCGGCTGCACTTGCCGCAGGCTGCCATCTGGAGAGAGGGGGCAATTGGGGGGCTGCAGGAGAGCTTCCACCCCCAGAATCCCACAGAGCCAGCCCAGTCCTCCCCATCGGGGGCTCGTACCCCATTCCTCCCTCACCTCCTTCCACTTACCCTTCCCTAGCCCCTTTTCTTGATGTACAAAATAAAGAACAATTGTGTTCAAAAATGGAATCTGCTTTATTGAACAAAACTGGGGGAGACTGGGAAAAGGAGGTGGAAGAGGGGAAGAGAGAGGCTGGGAGAAGGGAGGACAACTACAATGATCAGGGGTTGGGAACAGGTCCCATATGAAGAGAGGCTATAGAGACTGGGACTTTTCAGCTTAGAAAAGAAGAGACGGAGGGGGGACAGGATAGAGGTCTCTAAAAGCATGAGTGGGGTGGAGAGGGTGCATACAGAAAAGTTCTTCATTAGTTCCCATAAAGGAGGACTAGAGGACACCAAAGGAAAGGAATGGGTAGCAGGCTTCAAACTAGTAACAGAAAGTTCTTCTTCACAAAGCAGAGTCAACCTGTGGAACTCCTTGCTGCAGGAGGCTGTGAAGGCTAGAACTAGAACTGAGTTTAAAGAGAAGTGAGATCAATTCATGGAGGTTGGGTCCATGGAGTGGTATTAGCCAGGGGGTAGGAGTGGTGTCCCTGC